GTGACTGGATTGATATAGAAATGATGTGATTGATACAGATGTGACTGGATTGATATATATGTGACTGGATTGATATAGATGTGACTGGGTTGATGCACATGTGACTGACTGGATTGATATAGATGTGATATCATTGATACAGATGTGACTGGATTGATATAGATGTAACTGGATTAATGCTCATGTGACTGGATTGACATAGATGTGACTGGATTGATATAGATTTGACTGGATTGATATAGATGTGACTGGATTGATATACACGTGACAGGATTGACATAGATGTGACTGGATTGATATAGATGTGACTGGATTGATATTGATGTGACTGGATTGATATACACGTGACAGGATTGATATAGATGTGACTAGATTGATAAAGATGTGACTGGATTGATATAGATGTGACTTGATTGATATAGATGTGATGGGATTGATATAGATGTGACTGGATTGATACAGATGTGACTGGATTGATATAGATGTGACAGGATTGATATAGATGTGACTGGATTGATACAGATGTGACTGGATTGATATAGATGTGACAGGATTGATATAGATGTGACTGGATTGATACAGATGTGACAGGATTGATATAGATGTGACTGGATTGATACAGATGTGACAGGATTGATATAGATGTGACTGGATTGATACAGATGTGACAGGATTGATATAGATGTGACTGGATTGATATAGATGTGACTGGATTGATATAGATGTGACTGGATTGATACAGATGAGACAGGATTGATATAGATGTGACTGGATTGATATAAATGTGCCTTGATTGATATAGATGTGATGTGATTGATGCACATGTGACAGGATTGATATAGATGTGACAGGATTGATATAGATGTGACTGGATTGATATAGATGTGACAGGATTGATATAGATGTGACTGGATTGATACAGATGTGACAGGATTGATATAGATGTGACTGGATTGATACAGATGTGACAGGATTGATATAGATGTGACTGGATTGATAAAGATGTGACTGGATTGATATAGATGTGACTGGATTGATACAGATGTGACAGGATTGATATAGATTTGACTGGATTGATATAGATGTGACTGGATTGATATAGATGTGACAGGATTGATATAGATGTGACTGGATTGATACAGATGTGACAGGATTGATATAGATGTGACTGGATTGATATAGATGTGACTGGATTGATATAGATGTGACTGGATTGATACAGATGAGACAGGATTGATATAGATGTGACTGGATTGATATAAATGTGCCTTGATTGATATAGATGTGATGTGATTGATGCACATGTGACAGGATTGATATAGATGTGACAGGATTGATATAGATGTGACTGGATTGATATAGATGTGACTGGATTGATATAGATGTGACTGGATTGATACAGATGTGACTGGATTGATACAGATGTGACTGGATTGATATAAATGTGACAGGATTGATATAGATGTGACTGGATTGATATAGATGTGACTGGATTGATACAGATGTGACAGGATTGATATAGATGTGACAGGATTGATATAGATGTGACTGGATTGATATAGATGTGACTGGATTGATACAGATGTGACTGGGTTGATATAAATGTGACAGGATTGATATAGATGTGACTGGATTGATATAGATGTGACTGGATTGATACAGATGTGACTGGATTGATATAAATGTGACAGGATTGATATAGATGTGACTGGATTGATATAGATGTGACTGGATTAATATATATGTGACTGGTTTGATGCACATGTGACTGGATTGATGCACATGTGACTGGATTGGTATATATATGACTGGATTGATATAGATGTGACTGGATTGATATAGATTTGACTGGATTAATATATATGTAACTAGACTGAGGCACATGTGGCTGAATTGATATAGATGTGACAGGACTGATACATATATTTAAAAGCAAACGCAACTGTGATCATTTTCACATTTTTTGCTTTTAAAACACATGGCAATTTCTTTATTCCTTATATCAAGCAATGTTTGCTACTCATGTATTTAGGAAGTATGAGCTTGTTTCCATTATCTAATGGTTAGCGTGAGTGAGTGAGGAAGGGAGGGAGGGAGCCACTACACATGAGAGAGAGAGGCCAGTGATCCATACAGTACATGGGAGGTAACTGTCATAGGCATGCGGTACCTGGGGCCTATCCTACTCCCAGGATCCCCACAGCATACATAGATACACCTGTACTAGACCCAGATATGTGTGACCTGGCATTTAAGGGGTGACTGAGTGAGCTGGGTTTAACACTGAGGTCCTCTATAAACTTCTGAAATGAAAACAAGCCAGTAGGTAAAGGGAAGTAACTCTATTTACACGGACCATTACTTGGAAGGGTTTCACATGAAGAAAAAGGTCATTGTGGACCATTGAAAAGCATGCACAGATATATAAAATCAAGTGATAACATTAAACCACATAAATGCTTTCCAATATATATGTGACTATTTTTGGCATTAAAGCAAAATAAACATTGTTTCATTGTTTGATTGCCGCCTTGAATCTCTAGAACTCTGGACTTGTGGTCCTGTAGGTGTGGTTGGTTCTTTTGGCAAAAGAAGTGAGAAGGAGTGCATACAGTATCAGCAATACCTCATCAAGTAAGGGAAGCATGGGGTGATGTGAAATGGAGTGAAACGGCGCTATCAAGATTACTGCACTTACATAGTGACATGCATGCACTCTGTGTGTGTTGGTGGGGTAGGGTGGAATGCCTCACTCAGACACAGCATACTGACTCCAAGCCACTGAGTCCTTGTTTTTTCCCCTTTATAATAATGCCAAGCACCAGGCAGGGTAATTGCTATGACATGGGCAGAGGACTGAACCTCCCTCTCTGCAAGCAGAAGCTCTATCCACTAGAACATGTAGGCATGTGTGCGGCTGCTTCCACTAGTCCGATCTTTTAGTGCCGTCCTACTGAGATACCATGCCGTTTGTTAACATGAATACCCCACTCAGATACATTATACTGACTCTGATTCGACCAGTCCTTGTTTTAGTCCCTAAACGCTGAGTGCCAGGCAGGGTAACAACAACAACCATCTTTTAACGTCATTAGGTATGACACAGCCTGGGATTGAACCCCTAACCTTTCACTCTCCAGGTGGACCCTCTACCATAAGGCCACAGAGGTGGTCTGTCTGCATAAGGATACCGATGGACTTCAATAATTATATCCATGACGGAAAAAGGCCTGGGTTTACAGAATACCCACCTAATGAACTTTATCCATAATCTGTGCAATAAAACATTTCTGCTCATTGAAATGGGAGCACATACAACCAAATGATAAACGTTGTATACAGCCAGGTAAAAACTCTTCTTTTGAAGCAGACAAACATGACAAATATATTCATGACAAAAATCACCATTTTTAATCAAAAACAACAAATCTGAAACATAGAGAAGAACTTTATTCTTGAGTGATGATCACCACGGTAGATTGATGCATCAACAAATCACACCACAATCAAACCCTGATGATCCAAACATGATCCAATATTACACAACAACATGTGACTATGTTCACACAATAATCACCATTTGACCATCTTCCAAAAAGTCCAGTTTCCACCCTTGCTGAACTAGGCTTGTATTATGGAGTTACATTTTTTGCTGGACTAACGAGTCTATGCATAGTCCAATAAAAATCGCGCAACGAAATCGAAATCTAGTTCGTAAACTGTTGTGCAGATGACGGTCGATTGCAGGATTTGCAAAGCATGTGCACAGCCAACTCGTTGTCAACAGATATTTTTCAAACATTTTCAATTTTATAATGAAGGTGCTCACGTGATTTGATGCACTTCGCGATGTAAGACCAATTTTATGACAATATAGATCTTGATTATCGATCAGATTGTCTTGACTGGGCGCCGCCATTTTGATTGAAACAAATGCAAGTGATGGAATCTGATTGGTCCATATGAGAGGCTTAGAAGGGATATAAGTCCAAACAGCCACTGGTGGCGCTACGATCGAGCCGAGGAATTCCAGCCAAGTTCGGCAAGGATGGAAACTGGACTTTTAAAGTCAGTTAACTCTCTTGCCTCGGGAAGATGCCCTTTGACCTGTGCCAGCAAGATTGTGTGCAGTGTGCCATGTGCACTGACTTCGATCTAGATGCATGGAATGTTTCAACATGTAAAAATACCTGATGCTTCCAACACTGCACATATGATAAGCATCCATTGCAAAGTTAATTTTAGCCCTTGCGAATACCGCAGTTTAACATGGATTCCACACTCATACCCAGTATACCGGTACTGACTCTGAGCCTACTACTGAGCAGGGTAATAAAAACAAGTACCATATTGCATATAGTGATGTTCATACACTAATGTTAGTTTTACAGTGATAGTCCACTGAGATACCACACCGCAGTTTAAAATTTGTTTGTTTGTTGTTTAACTTAGCACTCCACAATATTCCTGCTATATGATGACAGTCTGTAAATAATCAAGTCTGGAAAAGACAATCTATTGATATATCATGATCTATGCAATTGGGATACGATGACATGCATCAACGAAGTCAGCGAGCCTGACCACCCAATCCTGTTAGTCGCCTCTTACGACAAATATAGTCACCTCTTACGGCAAGCATGGGTTGCTGAAGACCTATTCTAACCCGGTCCACAATTTAACATGCTGACATGGATATCCCCTCTAAGACTTCAAGTGAAGCACATGGAAGCCGGTGTTGGAGATGGATGGGGGCACACAGTCTGTCCATGGTAGTTCTAAACTAATTGAATAGACAGGTCACAAGCCCTGAGTCTAACATGTAGAAGAAGTGAACAGAAAGCTCCAAGTCATACCATGTGTTTACTGGAAAACGGTCTATTTGTCACTGATGAACCACAAGCTCGTAATGGGCAAAATATTTTCAGTTTAGTTTATTATAAAAGTGGTGCAGGTCACAGATGGTTGCCACTTGAAGAAACCCACAAGATTAAGTATAGACTGGTAAAAAAAAAATCTCAGTGTTTATACCCATGACCAAAGGATTCTGGGGCAGCTAAGGGACACAACTCTTTCCACAACTGGACCACAAGTGGCCCACTAGGCTGGTATGAATGAACACTGCATGAAAAGTGAATCATGTTGACAACACAAACTGTCCATGGTATTATACATGTCATCTATGTGGACTTATCCTGTAAGACTATGAGATTCTAAAATCACCAGTTTCTATTAGATAGCTGTCTAACCTCCTGCTCCAGCGAGTTTCTTCTACTGTACAGTGACAAGATGATGCAACAGCAGACACCTCACAGAAGTCATGACAATGTCATCATACATCACAGCATCAAACTCATCAGGAAACATCTCAACGTACCGGCATAAGTTCTGATGATGCTCTCATGTCTTCTTTCTAGTCTAAGTCTTGTTCTCACTATTTTCCTGTTCACTGTCTACATTGGAAGCTCCCGAAAGATCTTCTTTTCTCGGACTACTTAATATCTGCACTTCTGCAACATCAGTTGCCATGCAAACAGGCTCTGAGGCTGAATCAGTTGTCTCCCCTTTAGTCCTTGACCCAGTCTTTGATATCACCATGGCAGCAGTGGCATTTCCTGCAGCTAGTTCCTCGAGCTCCTGCTCTTCTGCAATTCTGTTTGCTAGGGCATCAGCCTGTACAAGAAGCTTACATGACAAAGAGAGCTAAATATGTTTTTTGTTGAACAAATGAGCCAACAATAAATTTGTAAAAAGATTATTATAAAACTTATAGTTCTTCCAAGTACTTAAGTAAATATATAGTAATAGTACTATAGTCATGTTCCTAAAGCATATACAGCTGATCTTCAGCCTTCAGTAATCATGCATGTTACACTTCAAGTCTTACCAAAACAAAAAGTTGAGTTTACAGTTTCTAATAAATTAAAATCTGATTCGCCAGAGTACTGGGATATAACACAAAAACAAACATATCAGTAACAGGCAACAACTCATATTTTCATAGTTTGATAGAATTCAAAATTCTTCAAATGACAGAAATAGGTATTTATCATAACTGATTATCAAATAGATGGTAGAAACAAATATATAATACATTGTAGCTTATGACTTATGATGATATTAGTGCAAGTTCTCAAAAAATCTACCATAATATTATGTTTATATAGCAGTGACTTCATAGTGGCTGTGGAATAGGTCAAAAGTCATTCATTCATCCTTTGCAGGTGGTATTTAAGAAATAAATGACACCACAAGTCATATATTTCTTATATGATATAACAAACTGTAAAAGTTCAGTTTCCACCCTTGCTGAACTAGGTGTAAATTATGGAGTCATATTTTGGCTGGTCTAACGAGTCTATGCACAGCCGTTCGAATCCCGGTTCGCCCCGATTATGTTTCTAGGTTTGTCAGCACCATACCCGTGCTCGTGGGTTTCACCGAAGTGGTAAACGTCTGAGACCTACATCACTTCGGGCTTTCCTCCCACATTAAGCTGACACGCCGCGATATAACTGGAAATACTGTTAAATGCGGCGTTAAACCCAACTCACTCACTCACTCACTCACTATGCACAGCCCAAACAAAATCGTTTCACGAAATTGACATTTTAACAGCATGGAGACTGACGTGGAGAATTCAGTTGACTGCAGGATTTGCAGAACATGTGTGCTTTCAACTGGGCATCGACCAATCTTATCAAAATCCTTCCATGTTCTTAATGAAGGTGCTCAAGTGATTTAATGCACTTTGTGAGGTGAGACCCATTTTATTACAATAAATGTCTTGATTATCTATCAAATCTTCTTGTTTGGGCACCGCCAGTTTGTTTGAAGCAAATGTAAGTGATATGAGAGATGGAATCTGATTGGTCGGTAGGAGAGGCAAAGATGGGACACAACTAGTAATAACCACAGGTGGCGCTACGATCGAGCCCAGAAATTCCAGCCTAGTTTGGCAGAGGTGAAAACTGGACTTTTTTAGTCAGTAAACTCCCTTCCCTAGGGAAGATGACATCACTAGTGATGAGACCCACCTGCAACAACTCTACAACTTCATCTCCAGTGACAGCCTGTTTCTCCGGGTAGAGGCGACGCTGGATGTATGATGCTGATGCGGCTTCTCCTCCACTTGCTAAGTGGACAGCTTGTGTCTGACATGACTCCTCCTTCAGGAAACGCTCCATTTGATCATTTCGCAATTTTGACAGGGACTGGACAATATCTCGGGCTGTTGGTTCACGAGGTGCACGGCCCTTCAGTCTGTTTAGTTTTTTCTCTGGAATAATTAAGAATGACTAAGACATAGTATGACATTGAAGAGCTGACTGACTTGGAACAATTATCAAAAGATTTTGGTTGGTTTGTTCGTTGTTTATCACCGCGCTCAGCAATATTCCAACTGTATGATGTCCGTCTGTAAATAATCTAGTCTGGACCAGACAATCAATTTTGAAGTGATATGTCATTAACTGTGCTTTGAATTGTGCCGAAGTGGTGTCTCAATCAGGCAGACAATTTCACTTCATAGCTGCTACAAACAATATCCAAAAGATTTGAGCTTATAAGAGAGGACAACTGCCTTCCTCTGGTTGCTGGAACATTGGGAGACGATTAAGAATATGTTTGTCACTATTTTCATTCAAGGATCCAAGGGCTAAGGATAGAGTTGGAAGAAAGCTACCCTAACCTTAACAAAACAAACCCTTAGGATCGAAGAGGCATGCGCGATCGGTGAAGCGATACTAAATATTATGTCTTCGGTAAATCAAAATCTATATACATCTTTGGGTAAATCAAGATTTGACAATACTATTGAGCTGCGAACAGCTTCTATAATCACATAGACTAACATCTAGTCTCTGAAATGAACATATCATACAGAAAAAACAGTTCTTCAGTTATCTTAATCAAAATATAATAAAAGGGAGCCCAGTGACTCTCCTCATTTTCAGATACTGCAGTAATCTAGACTTGCCAAACATTATAGACTTGCATAGGCTGCATTTGATATATACTTGTATCAGGGTCTGTAAGACAGACTAATAATCACACTGTACGTAGATATCTTGAAGGAATATATATCGACATGACATCTGACATCTAATTTGGTGCAGAACCAGTTACACACTGATACACAAGAGACAATAGCTTAAAGTCCACTCTTAACGGTTGTGACATCAGCACTGATGTTTCGTGATGGAGAATATATCTGTACACAGTTACATCGCAGTGGGTAAAACAAAGCTAATCAACAAACTGAGAATGAGATTGAATATATTTGGAACCGCAACAGAATATGTTCGCCTGTACTTTCATTCAAGGATCCAGGGGCTAACATAAATAACCCTAATGATCGAAGAGGAACGCAGGATCGGCGGCGTGAAAGTCACGGTATCATTAGTTCGTTCTGCAAATGGCCACGCCCCCTGATTCTCCAGAATGTATCTGAGCCAACAGAGTTGGGCATACCTAAGGATTCGATATACTTGTCAGAACTGATAAGTTGATGTATAGGGTCAACCGGGCACGGCATCACAGTCACGTTAGACGGGGGTTGGGGTGCCCACGGGTCATTCATGGCTGGAGCCGGTGGCTGTTCAATATCTTCGGCCGCCATATTGGAGGAAGTTTGAACTGCGCATGTACACAAGCTCTAAACACGGAAGTAAACAGGGGTTACTCACGTACCAAATATAAGCTGATAACGAAGTTATAATGTGCAGCGAGTGTCATAACTGCCACTTCACACGGGGACACGTACACCATAGTATACGGACAAAGACTCACAATTTCTCTACGGTTTGGGGCACTGACAATTCTTATTCTTATGAAAAACGACACTTGTTGAGCCCAGACCGTTCAGATCAGATCAGACTGTGTACAAGTTACTACAACAGACAACAGTGGGAGTTCAGATGTTAAGTTGGACTGACATTTGTGGATAAGACTATAAGAGGTGAGTGAACTGTTCAGGCCGTGTCTCCGTAATTTGTTGTGACGGAAAGTAGACTCTTATTTGAAGGGAGTTAACAAATACAGTATTTATAATGCTAAAACGTGCTAAACAATGTCTCAAACGCACTTTCCCATTTCTGCCGATCGCTGATGAACAAGACGACGACAATGAAGTTCCAGAAGCCCAGCAAATCAATGATCAGGATGTGACGAATGTTGTTCCAGACAAAGCAAGACTCATAAACAACATCACTTTTGTAGAAGTTGTCAACCATCGCCAGAAAAGTGTTAATTCCAATGTGTCAGAAGATAAAGATTTAAAAAAAGCACTGGAAAAACACGGGAATCCCCTATCTGCAATAGAAATAACCTTGTCGCAATCATCAGTAGAAAACATTCCCCTGACCATCAGCAACTTTCATAACCTGACGATACTTCGTCTTCAAGAGAATAAACTGAGGGAAATTCCATGGACACTTGTGTACCTACAACATCTCCAAGTGTGTGATTTATCATCAAATTGTTTGTCGGAAATATCTCCTATTATGGGATATATACCAACTTTAGAAGAACTATACCTCAAACACAACACACTTACATACCTACCAACAAGTCTGTTAAAACTCTCACATCTTCAAGTACTAGATGTTACTGGAAACTGTAATCTTGTATCACCACCTATGTCAGTCTGCACTGAGGGCAAGGATGCCATTTTCTCAGCTTTGAGTAAACGCCACAATCGTGTTGATATGTATTCAGAAGTTACCCCATGGTATAATGAACATTTCAACGTTCATCACTTTCAAAGCTTGGATTATGTCAAATCCGTGAGCAGCTTAATGCAGATAGCCGTTGACTGTATCCTAGAGTGTAGAGTGAATTATCTATCACAAGTACATGTGCCTCCAACCCTAAAGAACTTCCTGTTGAGAACGGAACAATCGTGCGTCAAACAGTTCCACATATCCAAATGCAGTACTTGTGGTGGCTTCTTCACCAACGAGCACAATTTCAAGAACCATCATTGCAAAAGAATTTGTATAAACTTATCCTGATTTTGAGAAATGATATGTACTCTTTCACTAATTAAGTCCATCTGTCCCCATAATTCCCAGTCAGGTGGTCTAACTTCAGTTTCTGGGGTCTCAGCTAATTGTTAATTCATACATGATATTAATCACGGGATTGTATGGTCCAGACTTGATTATTTACAGACCGATGTCATATAGCTGGAATATTGCTGAGTGCGGCATTACACGAAACCAAGCAACCACTAGGCTGATAGAATAATTTGTTTGATAGGCATTACTTAGAAGTTGGCGGATGACAAGATAGACACAATTTTATGGATAACAACTTCTTTAATACTGTAAAAAGCGACGTTTCGGGTATAGATCCTTATACCGTTATAACCCAACAATCAACAGAGATCAAGGCTATTTCATCCAATCCGCCTACTATGAACTCATCAAACAATAATCACCTGTTTATTGGCTTCATGCCCCATTGGCTTCTAGCTATGTGTTTTCTGTCCATCGTGTTGTGATAGCATCATCCTTGTTGTCACACCTACCTATGTTATCCCACTCATGTATGCCCTTGTTGTTACTGTTAATCCTCTACTGTTATGCCTCTACTGTTAATCCTCCACTTGCTATATATATTCTGCACTATGTCCCTCATTCAGTCTTGCTTGACAACGGTATAAGGATCTATACCGAAACTTCGCTTTTTACAGTATTAAAGAAGTTGTTGTCCATAAAATTGTGTCTATCCTGATAGAATAATGTTTATATCCTAAACTGTGATATTTACCCGACTGTTTTACTGTCCTTTGTTAACAGGTATTTTGTTATGGTTAACTTGTTCTTATCGGTATGTGGCTGCAATATTGCTGATGCAAATATTATTGCAGTGGTTTTAGCACCATGTATTTTTCTGTTTTCTCCTGATTCCAAATATTTTGTGACTTACATCATGTGCTTGAATAACATATAAGCCTACTCCATTCATGCTTGATAAGTTTAAGAGTAACATTTATATAAAAAAGCAAACCTGATTATACTCTGTTGACAAATATTGGTATTTCCTGTCAGGGCCTTTAAATCCTTTTGGTTCATATAAATTCAGGGACATGTGGTATGAGATAATGTGACTTAATATTTAAACCTTGTTTTTTTCTGTATTTGAGATGAGAGTCGTATTTGGTTCTTGTATCAGCAGTCAGAAATACCATGCTTGACTGGGGTATCTTGGCCTTTTGTTGGAGATCAGATATATTTTATTAATGTTAAGGAGCTCAAGCATTGTTTTCCCATACATGTGTCCATATAAGGAAGTATATTCTTTGTACACTTGGACGCAAAAAAGGGCACATTATTTCTGTTACTACAATGCGAGCCATATATAACATTTGATTCAGTATTACAGGGGATTGATTATTTTTTCAGAACTCCACCCCCCCCCCCCCCCCCCCCCCCCCTGAAAATAATTATTATGATTATTATTGGGTACCCATTTTGTACAAGTCAACCGCCTGCGTGGTCTAGTGGTCTAGCGTCCGCCCGGAGAGCGGAAGGTCCTGGGTTCGATCCCCGGCCGCGTCATACCAAAAGACGTTAAAAGATGGTACTTGTTGTTACCCTGTCTGGCGCTCGGCATTAAGGGGCTAAAACAAGGACTGGTCGGCTCAGAGTCAGTATACTGTGTCTGAGTGGGGTATTCATGTTAAACTGCGGCATGGTATCTCAGTGAGCTAGCACTATTTATAAATTGGCATCAGTCCGGACTAGTACAAGCAGCCACACACACACGTCACTATATAAGTGCAATAATCTTGGACGCGATGTTAAACCCCATTTCACCTCACCTCACCTTGTACAAGTCATTAACATGTTGGGCCAGGTTTTTCTCTAATATTTCCTTTCAAAGCATATGCATAAATACCCTCTTTGTCATGAATGTCATACTTTATGATTTGGTTTTGCAAAACAAAAGTTGTTAGTAATAAATACGGGTCTCATAAGGAATTATATTTGACATTAAGGTCACAAAATAAATTGAAATGAATACGCACAAAACAAAGTGCAAACAAATGTTCCAGATGGTTGTGTCTATATGTCTGCTTGTTTATCAACTGTATTCATTTCATTATGTTATAATTTATATATCAACAAGTTGTTAATAATAGATGATAATTGACAAGACTGTTATACATTAGGTCAGAATACCTTAATCAAGTTACAACTCAGGTGCTGTAATTTATAGCAAATTTTACAAATATGTGACAAATCTTGAAAAGAAATAGTACATTCTTGGTAATTAACTCAATATTCTTGTTTTTTTGTTGTTTTTTTTGTTTAACGCTGCACTCAGCAATATTCCAGCTATATGACAGCGGTCTGCAAATAATCGAGTCTGGACCAGACAATCCAGTGAGTGTATGCTTTGTTTGTTTAACGCTGCACTCAGCAATATTCCAGCTATATGACGGCGGTCTACAAACAATCGAGTCTGGACCAGACAATCCAGTGATTGTATGCTCTGTTTGTTTAACGCTGCACTCAGCAATATTCCAGCTATATGACGGCGGTCTGCAAATAATCGAGTCTGGACCAGACAATCCAGTGATTGTATGCTTTGTTTGTTTGTTTGTTTAACGCTGCACTCAGCAATATTCCAGCTATATGACGGAGGTCTGCAAATAATCGAGTCTGGACCAGACAATTCAGTGATTGCTTTGTTTGTTTGTTCTTTAACGCTGCACTCAGCAATATTCCAGCTATATGACGGCGGTCTGTAAATAATCGAGCCTGGACCAGAAATCCAGTGACTGATGTCATGAGCATCGATCCATGCAATTTGGATGTGATGACATGCATCAACCAAGTCAACGGGCCTGACCACCCTATCCTGTTACGACAAGCACAGTTGCCTTTTACAGCAAGCATGGTTTGCAGAAGACCTATTCTACCCCGATCTTCACGGGTCGATTGTATGCTACTTGATTAACAAGATATATTTTGTTTTAGATTTTTATACATTCATGTTAACCATTTGAATGCATTAGTAATATATGACATTAGAACATTCGAAAATGATGGGTATTATTGTTTTACACAAAAACAACTCATGCTCCAAATTATACATGGTATGGTCAAAGGGAGGTAACCCAACACCACTTAATGTCCTAGTCGCCACCATCAGCGTGAAAGTTGGAGGAAGGCTTTGTTGTCGAAGCAATGGAATGATAATTCCAATGTGCCGACGACAGGTATCGGATCACCAGAATGAAAATCTTTAATCGCATCTGTTTTAGTTGACGTGTTCACATTTGCCTTGCTAGACACTGCAACAGGAAACGACCCCGCCGGTATGTATGGAGTTGGACACCATTGCGGTTAGGCCGAATTGAAACTGGGGTCGATAACATTATCCCATTCTGACAAGAAAAAACCCATCAACTTCTTTTACTTTTACGTTTGTCGTTGATGTACTTAAAAACTGACTTAAAACTTATTTATTCTGTAAAAGATATCCACAACCTGAGTTACTTCCCTTTGTGTTGTTTCGTATTAAAGGTTTGGGTTTTTCAACGAAACAAGTTTGAAATAATATATTTTAAATCAAAGTTTAAATTAGCTTGGATAAAAGACTATTTGAGGCCAGACGAGACTCGCGTTGTGTAGTAGCAGGCTGTACACACGCTGAGGAACAGCAATTATTGTATGAAGCACACGTAAAATATGTTAACCTCGGCTCTCTGCTTTAGATTTGTTTGTCGGTAGATCTCACGGATTTGTCAAAGCGGTTGTCGGGCAGAAAATGCTAACGTTATCATAGCTAAAGCGCTCTGATATGAACGGCCAAAGAGTTCGATAGGGGACTCATATTTCTGTTGTGACAAAAAAGCAAGTGTCTTTGAAAACAAAAACAAAACATATGTCATTGTCTTTGTTAGAAGTAGGCTATCTGGAGAAGAGACATGTTTTCTAACAATGAAAAAACAATTTGAATGTTTCTAGCTATATTTGTGTTGTATTCATTGGTTAAATATTTCAGTTAGAGCATGAGGACGTTTTGGTCATAAAACCCCGGAAAAGATCATTAAAATGTTCAGGATGTTCCACTTCAATGTAGTTCACTTGAGTCTACCTTCTGAATCTCAAACACTGCATGACACCATCATTAATTTTATTTGAACAACCCAAATCATCTCAAAGTAGACACAGTTTATGGATAAAACCTTCTTTATTTTACAGTAATGGCGACGTTTCGGTATAGAGCCTTACACCTACGCACTGCCCAGACCCAGGCCGACAACAAACTGCACACTAAGATACACACACCACAGATTAGACCCACGTCCAGTCCAAACCATACCGAAACGTCGCCATTACAGTAAAATACAGAAGTTGTTATCCATAAATTGTGTCTACTTTGTCATCCGTCACCTTCTGGGACATGCCTATGAACAAACTAAATCATCATGTTAGTAATTTGGTAGGTGATGGTGTTACATTACGTGGGTATATGTTTAGATACTAGACGTATGTAAAATCAAAACATATTCCTGGAGGATTCTTTGACCGAAGTACTTTGAAGTCAGACCGCATTCTGAATGCTTTGTCGTATTTTCGCACAAAACTTTCATCGATAGGCGGCCGAACCTTCTTGCAGGTTACGGATAGGGGCGAGTGGTGACGAATGACGCCTGACACTATTTCAAGATATGAAATTGCGGTTGGTATGTTGCAAATGTGAAGCCAACAGTTCGGCAATTCGAGCGGGGAACATAAGAAATATACTTCATATGTTAGAGAGGTACATTGAAAATAATAGAATGGTTCTCGGCTGAACCTATGCTGTCGTAAGAGGCGACCAAATGGATTGGGTGGGCAGGCTCGGTGACTTGGCTGATTGAGTGTCATTGTACCCAGACGACGTTGACCGTTGTTCACAATATCAATCACTGGATTGTCTTGCCCAGTTTCGATATTTACAATTGCGATCATTTAGGTGGAATATTGGTGAGTGCGGCGTTTAAAAAAACAACAAGTGATGAGCAAACGCTTTGTCCGCTAGTCTACCCACCGCTCCTTGCTAACAACGCCACAGAATCGTTCCTGGTGATTTGAGTTGTTGAAAATTATGAAGTTGGTCTACGCACCACTTGGAAATTTTCGAGCTCTATCTCGACGGCCGTAAATGATCGAGTCTTGGTCAACCCAGTGGTTGAATACATCAGCAACCGCCAACACCGTCGGGGCAGGATGACGCAAGAATGTGTGTGTTGTTTAACGCGCACTCAGCAGTATTCCAGATATATGACGGCGGTCTGGAAATAATCTAGTCTAGACCAGGCAATCTAATGATTGATATCATGAGCATCGATCCACGCAATTGGGATACGATGACATGCATCAACCCGGTCAGTGAGCCTGACCACCCGATCCTTAAGTCGTCTTTTACGCCAAGCATGGGTTGCTGAAGACCAATTCTAACCGGTAATTGCAGGGGGTTCTGTGGACTTTCTGTATTGATAATACTATGTGAATTTTTATGAAACTGTTTAATCGTAGAAATATTTTTGTATGCATTCGTTACGTTCAGTTACGTATTCCTTCCTTAGGAATAAGTACCCTACATTGACCTATATCTGTCTATTGTAGGACTGACGTTCCATCACTGTCAACGCAAGCAACGAAAGACGGCAGTTTTGATGACCAAAGTCATAAACAGACATCAAGGATGAGCCTACGTGGGGTATCCTCAAACAGTGCCAGCAATTCAGATAGTGTATCCACTTATTTTCACTGAACACAGCCAACCTCACCATAAGATCACCTAATCAGCATTTGAAAATTTATTGAAAATATTGACGCTGGCGTCCCTCGCAGACCATATTAAGACTGTCTTCAGGCCCACCACAATGCGTTACTTCTCTAACCAGGTAGCGGAGATAACCGAACACGTGTATCTTAGCAGCGTGGGCGGGGTGACCCAGGAAAGGTCCCTGGAGGAGCATGGCATCACCCACATCCTGAACGTCGCCACGGAGCTCCAGGACCTGAAGTACCCACAGGATGACCTGATGATCAAACGTGTGTCCCTGAGAGACTCTGTCACCGAGAACATCCTGCCCCACCTGGAGTCTCTGGTCGACCACGTGGATGAGGTGGCGAGGCAAGGAGGTAGGGTTGCGGTTCATTGTATTGCTGGCGTCAGTCGCTCTGCCACCGTGTGCATCGCCTACCTCGTGAAGCACCACCACATGACCCTGAAGCAGGCTTATCGGAAGGTCTATAAGGCAAGGGAGGTAATTTACCCCAATAGGAGTTTCTGGGCGAGTCTGGTGGCTTTCGAGGAGCTGTATCACGACCACAGCACGGTGGAGATGCTGCCTTACATCTGTGGGATGGAGCCCTCGGTGTACCAGAGGGATACGGAGATGAGGATCCGGCATGGTTGGATGGGAGAACTAGGGACCATGTGGCTGTTTCACCTGGTTCTGATGTTGGTGCAGGTGTATTTTGCTTGATGGTGTCACACCCCACGCCAAAGACTGGAGATCCGTATAAGGAAACATGTCACTCGGGTGCAGGAATTCTGCAGCAAAAACTCAGAACTCACGTGTGACGTCCTTTTGGTAAGCAAAAGTTTCGGGGCGCGCTCAGACTCGACCTAACTATTATTGAGGGACAAGATTTATAGAATAAGACGGGACCACTGGCTGATGGCTTGTATCACGTGACTTCATCTGGCAACCGTGATGTGAAACACGAAGCCCCACGACTGGTATTGGTGGAAAGCTCCCTTGCTCCGTGCAACAATGATCTGAATCCTCAATGCTCGTGGTGCCGGTTGATAACTCAGGAATGTCCTCACTGACTGGCTTCATAACGCGAGAAGAGTTTACTACACGCATTGGTTAAAGACACGTTGTATTGGTTAATAACTCAGGAATGTTCTTACTGACCGGCTTCATGACGCGAGAAGAGTTTACACGCATTTGTGTAAGACTTGATTGTATGTGCTCTCTGGTTGAAGACTTGGTTGTATGTGCTCTCTGGTTGAAGACTTGGTTGTATGTGCTCTCTGGTTGAAGACTTGATTGTATGTGCTCTCTGGTTGAAGACTTGATTGTATGTGCTCTCTGGTTGAAGACTTGATTGTATGTGCTCTCTGGTTGAAGACTTGATTGTATGTGCTCTCTGGTTGAAGACTTGATTGTATGTGCTCTCTGGTTGAAGACTTGATTGTATGTGCTCTCTGGTTGAAGACTTGGTTGTATGTGCTCTCTGGTTGAAGACTTGGTTGTATGTGCTCTCTGGTTGAAGACTTGATTGTATGTGCTCTCTGGTTGAAGACTTGGTTGTATGTGCTTTCTGGTTGAAGACTTGATTGTATGTGCTCTCTGGTTGAAGACTTGATTGTATGTGCTCTCTGGTTGAAGACTTGGTTGTATGTGCTCTCTGGTTGAAGACTTGGTTGTATGTGCTCTCTGGTTGAAGACTTGATTGTATGTGCTCTGTGGTTGAAGACTTGATTGTATGTGCTCTCTGGTTGAAGACTTGGTTGAATGTGCTCTCTGGTTGAAGACTTGGTTGTATGTGCTCTCTGGTTGAAGACTTGATTGTATGTGCTCTCTGGTTGAAGACTTGATTGTATGTGCTCTCTGGTTGAAGACTTGGTTGTATGTGCTCTCTGGTTGAAGACTTGATTGTATGTGCTCTCTGGTTGAAGACTTGATTGTATGTGCTCTCTGGTTGAAGACTTGGTTGTATGTGCTCTCTGGTTGAAGACTTGGTTGTATGTGCTCTCTGGTTGAAGACTTGATTGTATGTGCTCTCTGGTTGAAGACCTGATTGTATGTGCTCTCTGGTTGAAGACTTGATTGTATGTGCTCTCTGACTGAAGACTTGGTTGTATGTGCTCTCTGACTGAAGACTTGGTTGTATGTGCTCTTTGGTTGAAGACTTGATTGTATATGCTCTCTGACTGAAGACTTGGTTGTATGTGCTCTCTGGTTGAAGACTTGGTTGTATGTGCTCTCTGGTTGAAGACTTGATTGTATGTGCTCTCTGGTTGAAGACTTGATTGTATGTGCTCTCTGACTGAAGACTTGATTGTATGTGCTCTCTGACTGAAGACTTGATTGTATGTGCTCTCTGACTGAAGACTTGGTTCTATGTGCTCTCTGACTGAAGACTTGATTGTATGTGCTCTCTGACTGAAGACTTGATTGTATGTGCTCTCTGACTGAAGACTTGATTGTATGTGCTCTCTGGTTGAAGACTTGATTGTATGTGCTCTCTGACTGAAGACTTGATTGTATGTGCTCTCTGACTGAAGACTTGATTGTATGTGCTCTCTGACTGAAGACTTGATTGTATGTGCTCTCTGACTGAAGACTTGGTTCTATGTGCTCTCTGACTGAAGACTTGATTGTATGTGCTCTCTGGCTGAAGATCGTATCGGTGTACCAGTGTTAAAGCGGTGTTGTCTACCGCACTACGTTATATTTACTGCGCGTTATGTTATATTTCTATTTCAGATCTGGAAGTACAGTAAAACACCATGGTGTCGAACTTTGACGTGTCTCGAAGTAAAAGATTTGTGCTTCGTATTCGAACTTCGGATAACACAAAGTATTACGTTGGACCCTTCAATTTCGACATAGTGGTATTTGACTGTATTTGAGTTTACCTCCTAATGGAACTACATATTATGGTTTACGCGTTCCTGTGGTTTTGTCCGTGTAATGTAAATAGTTATACATATATTTGGGTGCGTATATAGATATACATACAAATGCATATAGTTCCTGACTCGACCGGGACTCGGCTTGTGAGGCAAGTTAGTCACTGGTCGGTGGCTGGCTGCTTGTGTCATGTGATCGTTTGGACGGGTACCGATTATTTATGTTGTTTGTCCATTTTCATCTCGGGTATGGAATCTCCAAGTATTTATATTAACCTTTGACCTCACTGAACTGCATGATAACTGATATGTTTATGTGTGTCCATCATCAGAATGTGATTTTTTTTTTGTTTATTAACAATGGTTTACTCAATATATTGTCTAGTCTAATCAATAAAGAACCATTTCATTATTCTTATTTCTTCGGAAAGTGTATGCAACAGGTACGCACTCGTTTCATAAATCATACACTAGTGACATTCAGCTACACAGCGCAACATCCAGCTACAACGCATACAATCCATCTACAACACATGACATGCAGCTATAACACGTAAAGTTCAGTACAACACTAACATTCAACTACAAAGCGTAAGATTTAACGACAATGCGTAACATGCAGTTAAAACACGTAACATTCAGCTACAACGTGTAACATCCAACTACAACACGTAACGAACAGCTACAACACGTAACGTGCAGCTACAGCACCTAACATCAAGCGACAACGTGTAACATTAAGCTACAACGAGTAACATGCAGCTACAATACGTAACGTGCAGCTACAACACATAACAAGAAGCTACAACGCGTAACATCCAGCTACAACGTGTAACAAGCTGCTACAACACGAAACGTGCAGATACAATGCGTAACATCTTGCTACAACACGTAACATGCAGCTACAACGTGTAGCATGCAGCTAAATCATGTAACAAGCAGCTACATCGCGTAACATCCAGCTACAACACGTCATATGTAACTACAACATTAACGTGCACCTACAACATGTAACATGAAGCTACAACACGTAACTTGCAGCTACAACATGTAACAAGCAGCGACAACGTGTAACACGCTACAAGACGTAACAAGCAGCTACAACACGTTACAAGCAGCGACAACGTGTAACACGCTACACACAGTAATATGCAGCTACAACAAGTAACAAGCAGCGACAACGTGTAACACGCTACACACAGTAATATGCAGCTACAACATGTAACAAGCAGCGACAACGTGTAACACGCTACACACAGTAATATGCAGCTACAACAAGAAACAAGCAGCAACAACGTGTAACACGCTACACACAGTAATATGCAGCTACAACATGTAACAAGCAGCGACAACGTGTAACACGCTACACACAGAAATATGCAGCTACAACAAGTAACAAGCAGCTACAACGCGTAACATCCAGCTACAACGTGTAACAAGCTGCTACAACACGTAACGTGCAGATACAATGCGTAACATCTTGCTACAACACGTAACGTGCAGCTACAACGTGTAGCATGCAGCTAAATCATGTAACAAGCAGCTACAACGCGTAACATCCAGCTACAACACGTCATATGTAGCTACAACATTAACGTGCACCTACAACATGTAACATGAAGCTACAACACGTAACATGCAGCTGCAACACGTAACGTGCAGCTACAGCACCTAACATCAAGCTACAACGTGTAACATGCAGCTACTATACGTAACATGCTGCTACAACAGGTAACGTGCAGATACAATGCGTAACATCTTGCTACAACACGTAACGTGCAGCTACAACGTGTAGCATGCAGCTAAACATGTAACAAGCAGCTACAACGCGTAACATCTAGCTACAACACGTCACATGTAGCTACGACACGTAACATGCAGCTACAACATGTAACATGAAGCTACAACACGTAACATGAAGCTACAACATGTAACATGAAGCTACAACACGTAACATCAAGCTACCACACGTAACGTGCAGCTACAGCACCTAACATCAAGCTACAACGTGTAACATGCAGCTACAATACGTAACATGCTGCTACAACAGGTAACGTGCAGATACAATGCGTAACATCCAGCTACAACACGTAACGTGCAGCTACAACGTGTAGCATGCAGCTAAACATGTAACAAGCAGCTACAACACGTCACATGCAGCTACACCACGTAACATGCAGCTACACCACGTAACAAGGAGATACAACATGTAACAAGCAGCTACAATATGTAACAAGCAGATACAACACGTAACATGCAGCTACAATATGTAACAAGCAGATACAACACGTAACAAGCAGCTACAATATGTAACAAGCAGATACAACACGTAACATCCAGCTACAACACGCAACAAGCAGCTACAACACGTAACATCCAGATACAACACGTTACAAGCAGCTACAACACGTTACAAGCAGCGACAACGTGTAACACGCTACAAGACGTAACAAGCAGCTACAACACGTTACAAGCAGCGACAACGTGTAACACGCTACAAGACGTAACAAGCAGCTACAACACGTTACAAGCAGCGACAACGTGTAACACGCTACACACAGTAAAATGCAGTTACAACAAGTAACAAGCAGCGACAACGTGTAACACGCTACACACAGTAATTTGCAGCTACAACAAGTAACAAGCAGCGACAACGTGTAACACGCTACACATAGTAATATGCAGCTACAACAAGTAACAAGCAGCGACAACGTGTAACACGCTACACACAGTAATTTGCAGCTACAACATGTAACAAGCAGCGACAACGTGCAACACGCTACACGCAGTAATATGCAGCTACAACAAGTAACAACACGTAACAACAAGTAACATATAGCTACAACACGTAAAATTTAAAGTATTGAATTTCTTTTTTCCAGCTTGCTTGCTGAAAAGCTCAACGTGACAATTTTCTCCATTTGGGGCAACAATAAATATTTTGCATGAATATAAAATAATCCGTCACCTAACGCCTGTGATAAAAACGAGTTTCTGACAAACAATGAGAGCTACACTACCGACAGGTCCTGCTTTAAGTAAACTGCCAGAGAATTAGGATAACAATGGCTCAGGGATACGAGAGTCCCCCGTGACAACAGCTCCCGTGTGTCGACAGTCGTCTCGTGTGAAGTCCATAAACTACAAGTGCTTACACCAGCACCACGGCGAGTGTTGATAGCAACTCCAACATCGATACCTCAGCGGCTCACGGCACCGGTAGCGGCACATCGCGTGTGGAGGCTCCTTTCAGCGACATGACGGTGATGATATCACAACCGGGGGCGCTCAACTGTTAACTCAAGTTCTTACAATGTGTTAAGTTTAATAAACCATGCAAGTTTACCGCCATTGCCGCACGTGTAGCCTCACTCGAACAAAGCCATGCTTAAGCACCCTTAAAACTGATATCGTCAACCACTCATAAACTTACTGTGTAGCCAGGAACCGTGTGAATTTTGATATAAGTTATCAGTAAACGATACTTTCCTACAACTTGTCTGTTTCAAATTTTCCTGTTGAAACAGAAACACAAAGCCATACCCCTTCACAAGCCTTTGTGGGTACCTGGTATGTGCAATACTTCATTTAAAGAATAACAAGCTGATGATTTACATCTGTTAGAAATATTCCGACCTAATCTGTCTATGATCCACCCTAACTGGTGTATGATCCACCCTAACCAGTGTATGATCCACGCTAACCAGTGTATGATCCACCCTAACCAGTGTATGGTCCACGGTAACAGTGTATGATCCACCCTAACCAATATATGATTCACCCTAACCAGTGTATGATCCACCCTTACTAGTGTATGATCCACCCTAACCAGTGTATGATCCACGCTAACCAGTGTATGATCCACCCTAACCAGTGTATGATCCACGCTAACCAGTGTATGATCCACCCTAACCAGCGTATGATCCACCCTAACCAGCGTATGATCCACGCAAACCAGTGTATGATCCGCCCTAACCAGTGTATGATCCACCCTAACCAGTGTATGATCCACCCTAACCAGTGTATGATCCACCCTAACCAGTGTATGATTCACGCAACCAGTGTATGATCCGCCCTAACCAGTGTATGATCCGCCCTAACCAGAGTATGATCCACCCTAACCAGTGTATGATCCACCCTAACCAGTGTATGATCCGCCCTAACCAGAGTATGATCCGCCCTAACCAGTGTATGATCCACCCTAACCAGTGTATGATCCGCCCTAACCAGTGTATGATCCGCCCTAACCAGTGTATGATCCGCCCTAACCAGTGTATGATCCGCCCTAACCAGAGTATGATCCGCCCTAACCAGTGTATGATCCGCCCTAACCAGTGTATGATCCACGCTAACCTGTGTATGGTCCACGCTAACCTGTGTATGATCCACGCTAACCAGTGTATGATCCACGCTAACCTGTGTATGATCCGCCCTAACCAGTGTATGATCCACGCTAACCTGTGTATGATCCACCCTAACCAGTGTATGATCCACCCTAACTAGTGTATGATCCACGTTAACAAGAGTATGATCCACCCTAACCAGTGTATGGTCCACGGTAACAGTGTATGATCCGCCCTAACCAGTGTATGATCCACCCTAACCAGAGTATGATCCACCCTTACGAGTGTATGATCCACCCTAACCAGTGTATGATCCACCCTAACCAGTGTATGATCCACCATAACCAGTGTATGATCCACCCTAACCAGTCAAAGTATTATCCGCCCTAACCAGCGTATGATCCACCCTAACCAGCGTATGATCCAAGCTAACCAGCGTATGATCCACCCTAACCAGCGTATGATCCACCCTAACTATTGTATGATCCACGCTAATCTGTGTATTATCCGCCCTAACTAGTGTATAACCCACCCAAACCAGTGTATGATCTACCCCAACCAGTGTATAACCCACCCAAATTAGTGTATGATCTTCCCTAACCAGTGTATAACCCACCCAAACCAGTCCATTTATGGCTGAAATAATTCCGAACTCTCTGAACCCATCCAGTGTAAGGCTGAGTCCAAGTAGCTGGTGTGTTGAAACTGTTTATCAGAGGACGCCGAACATCAATATCTTGAATCGAGAGCCAGCACCCCCAGCGTCCTGAACGTCCGACCCACCAACCTGAGTTCCGGCTACATGTGTCGAGAATATCGACCCAACAGGTTACTTGAGGGATCGACACTTTCGGCGTGACCTTGTCCACAGCAAATACATTGTCTCACCCAAGTGGCGCAGACTAACTGTCAGCCCCTAAACAAACCTGAGCCCGTTCATTGTAACATGTACATCGTTTGTGGCGTTCTTAGCAAGTCATTTGCTCCCAGTAACCAAGAACAAAGTTAAGTTTACCGTTAAAAAAAAGGAGAAGCAAGAACAGACACGGTGAGCAATATGTAGCATTGTTT